TATGTATGTATTTATGTAATGTAATGTAATGTAATGTAACATATTTTAATAATGTAATATAATGTGATGTAATGTAGTAGAACATAATGTAATGTAATGTAATGTCATGTCAAGTAATGTAATGTAATGTCATGTCATGTCATGTCATGTCATGTAATGTATGTATGTATGTATGTATGTGTGCATTCATGCATATCTAGAATTATAGGTCTGTGGCCATGTAGGTAGGGGTGGGTGTGTGTGTGAGTGTGCATGTCTGTCTGTCTGTATGTATGTATGTATGTATGTATACCTATATATAAGCATGCTTGTATCTCGGTAGATAAGGAGGCAGGCAGGTAGGTGTGTATTTTTCAGGGCAGGTAAGTATGTCTATGTCTGCAAGTACCTATGTCTTCATGTGCATGTTTCTGTGTCTTGTATTTAAGTAGATGTGTATCATCATGTATGTATGTATGTATGTATGTATGTATGTTTTGTATGCATGTATGCACGCACAAGCTAGAAAATGTACATAGTATAGAGTGTTCATCCTGTCCAGGAGATGAAGAAGCAGCCATGTGTGAAGTCCGAGACGGACAAGAAGCTGTGCAAGGAGGAGATATGCCACGCGGCCCCTGTGGTTGAGCCTCCGAAGGAGGTTGAACCAAGTGTTGTGACGGATGACTACATGGTCATTGATGACAGTGATGATGAGATGCCTGCTACTTGAATGAAGCCGGCTATACTCTTCAACATAGTCTGATAGTGCTACACATGTCCTATGCGCATTATGTCCCCCAGAGGAATGTAATGAATTGGGTTTGTGTGTTTATATATACATATATGGATATGCACAAAGAGGTCCAAGTAGGTGTCTGTATGATGTGTGCACTGTATGTATTGAATGAGATTGTATGTATATGTTGATATGTGGTATATGTGTTTGTTCTTTCAGTTTTCTCCGTATGCACAGACAGACACACACACACACACAAGCCCATGTGCACACAAACACACACACACAGAAGTGCAGAAAGATTCACATGCACAGACACATACTATTGCAACCAGAGACCAGTGTATAAATCTGGATGTGTATGCATGTATGCATATGTTTCTGGGTCTCTGTAAAGTAACTATGTGCAAGTCTGTGCATGTTCTTGTTTGATGTTGATATAAAAAATATATATATATAGAAACATGAACATATTATTCTTGATACTGCTTAGAACTAGATGCAAGAAATAAGTATATCTCCCATTCACTCAGGAGGGTTAAGGTTTGCACATACTGCAGATAGCAAGTCTCCTCTTGTGCAATGTAGCCATGACATAAGGCTGGTGGTGCAGAGCTACCTGATGATTCTTTGGCGCATCAGCTGGTGCAGCTTGCCAAAACACAAGTCCTACCCCAGACCCCACTGAAGAATGCCACTGATCCTGGGGTGGCTCCTACTTTCGAGGCATGTGTGGCCCAAATGTAAGTGCATCAATCCTAGCCAAACCCAAGCCTGACAATTTTGTCCCTTAAGACATGAAACCCTTGTGTCAAGACCCAATACAATCAACAAATAGCCCAACTTAACATAATTCGTTCCTCCTACCCAGTAGTCTGGCTGGCAGACACCACCTACGAAGATCAACTCCCTTGGGACGCCGCTATCGAAGAGCCTGAGCCAGGCCACTACGGTGCCTGGGAGCCTGCCTTCTACCCCGACACCGACCAGAACAGCTGAAACGCCAACCCCGCCCAAAGACTCCTTGACTGCCGTGACCGCTGTGAAAGCACCTGAGGTCCAAGAGGCTGAGAACAAGGTGCAAGGCTGCTTCAATCAACATGATATAGAATTGTTAGCTAGTGTTGGGTTTAGGGTTTTTCTAGGCTTGTAGTGCAGGGCAGAAAGAAGCCTGACATTGTCTATGTGGGTGAGATTGCCTTGACTCAGCAAGAGTACAACAACTGGCGAGGGAAGTTTGGGCGGGCCTGCACGCCGAAGCCGACCTCGGGGCGGCTTGATGTACCGACTGATGTTCATGAGACGTTTCTCGCAAAGGGGAAGAAGAAAGAGCAGATGTTCGAGCAGTTTATTAGGGCCGGTGGGGACAAGGATTGGGTCCAGAAACTATGTAGATGCACAGGGGCTTGGATGATCCATGCTTGGGTCTTCTACATGTACACAGAAGTTAAAACCCAACCTAGCCGGAACCAGAATACACTTATGATCGTCAATGCAGGACCAATTTGTCCGGCGCTTCATGCTGAAGAAGGTCTCCGAGTCCACGAACGAGTTGGATGAGGAGGGTGGGTATTATACTCCGGAGGAAATGAAGAAGCTCTTGAGCTACTCCCAGTGACTTGCACATATTACTTTACACTGAGCCTGAATGTAAAGGATTGGCTTCCACTTCTATATAGTGCCCAATGGAAGAAACCAAAGAAGCTCTAACATCTTTCGAGATGATTCTACAAGCCTCTACTACAACCTAACTTGAACACCATCTACCTATATTGCTGTCTCTATCCATGCAAGTGTGTGCATGCATGTATGTTTCTATGTGTGTATCTGTGTATGTAAGTCTGTTTGTATGTATGTATGTATGTATGTATGTATGTGTGTATGTGTAAATGTATGTGTATATATATGTATGTCAGTCTGTCTGTCTGTATGTATGTATGTCTGTATGTATGTATGCATGAATGCATGTATGTGAGTGTGCATGAGTCATGCACCCTGCCTACGATTCTGAACATAATGAAACCAACCTAGCCAGGGAAGTTGAAACAACCCTGAAATTCCCAAATCTTCACCCCTACGGTTTCCTACTTATCTAGCCCTCCCTTGCTTCAGCCCAGGACCCGGGCCGACCAGACGGTGGCATGGTGCAATGACCCTGCCAATGGGGATGATCTTGTTTTGTGCCATGGACGAAAACATAAATCTGTGCATGCATTCTAGCATGTACTGGCTCTGGGCACAGCACACTTCATGCCTACATCAATCAGGACTGACTTAGTCGACGAGAACATCAAGTTTTATTGGTGCCGCACGCGTGTGAAAGGCCTCAAGCGCTTGAGGCAGACGCAGACTGCAGAGGAGACAGCTGAGGCTGAGGGCACTGGCCCCATGATGCTTAGTGGCATGGATAAGAATGCTTGCACCCCTGCAAGCATGGGCCTCCGAACTGCTGGTGATGTTGAAGCTCTGAGATCTGAGGCCTCGGAGGATGAAAACGGTGGCTGGTGCTTGTTAATTAAGAAACCCTATAAACCCTAAACCTAAACCCCTTGGCTTCCCAGTTTGTTTGCCCAGGCAGAGAAGCTGGAGATCCAGCAGAAGGAGCTTCTGTCGGTGCAGGAGAAGTCAGCTAATCTCATGGATAAGTTGAAAGTGGTTTCCCCCGACAAGAAAGATCGTGCCGATGAGACACCGGGCCTGCATATTGTAATTACTACACTGCTAGCACCAATGTCAGTTGCATGCATGTCAAAGACTTAACTGGGCCCTTTGGTTATTGTGAGCAGCTTAGGCTTCGACCCAAGCTGCAGCAGATGTCCAAGACAGCAGAAGCACTTTATGAACAAATGGCTGATGCCCTGGCCAAGATCAGTACCGCACAGCTGGACCCAAAAGCCAGTGAGCTCCTAGTCAAAGATTTATCATACCATCCACGAACCCTGTACACTGCTAGTCTAGAAAGAATTGTGCTCAGGGGTGCCAAGCTCGTGCTCAATCTTACAACGGAGGGCAAGAAGCTGCCTCGACCTTGGAGTGAAGTGCAACTTTCTCACCCAGCTCATAAATTCTTCAAGCCTCCAAACAGATTGAAAGCTGAAGCCAGCCCTGGTTTGTTGGCAAGGTGCTCCATGTGGACTGGCCTCGAGCGCACCTGCCGGCCACTGCCTGAGCAACTGCTTGCAGGATACTTAAGCCACAGCTGGCAGTTCCTATTGTTGCCTGTGGTTTTGTCTATAGGCTGTCATGTCACTGAGATTGAACCTGTTGTTGCCTTACAACTGCACATTTGTATATAGCTATATTCACATATGTCTGTAAACATTGACATGAACATGTATATATATATGTACATATATATATATACATACATTATGTATGTATGTATGTACGTATGTATGTATGTATGTATGTATGCATGCCCCCCAGATATATGTGTAGGCACATATATAGACATACATACATGCATACCGGTGAACCATTCCTAATCTCGTTCGATAATTTACCCTAAGCCCCATGAGCCCTCCTTGTCAGGAAACTACTGCATGAAACCCCTGGCAGCAAGTACCTAGAAGCACCGGTGCATCATACACCATGCAGAAATGCAAACCCCACAAACCCCAAACATCTCTGTGAACCCATCTTTAAAGTTTTGCCTCGGATCCTCCAATTGTCTTTATTTAGATCCTGTGTTTGTTTCGTGGGTTTAGAAGGGCTCCCTGACATAAGTCTGCTTTAAAACATGGTGTAGAAAGCCTAACAGTGCTATCAATCTCTCTTGTGTAAGAAAGCTGATGTTGCCTACTGCCTGCATGTGTCTTGATCTTGTGGCACATGTTTGCCCAGGCCGGCTCTTCGCAAGCCCCCTGTGAAGAAGAAGGACGATGAGGAATGAGGAAGACAAGTAGGGTGCAGGAGTTACAACCGGGGTTTCCAAGAAACACTGAATGTGTTGGGGTCATCTACACTTTCTTGTGAACCTGTCGTGTACAGCTACACGCGGGAATGCTTGTTCCAAGCCTGATATGTTCGTGATTGGTCACTCCATAGTGCTACTTTGTGCTGTGGATGTGCACCGACGTTTCCACAAACAACTCGATGCACGTGGGTGGCTCGTGCAGAAGAAATGACCTGTGCATGCACATGTCATGTCTCTCACATTTGTGCAATGTCTGTGGCATTGAGCATAAACTTCGGCTGTCAACATAAGTTCAGCCATGCCTGAATGCCAGGTCCATCGGGTACAAGTCAGACGGCCAAGTTCATGGCCGATGCCATTGGGTCAGGTGTGCCAGACCCAGCCTATATGCATCTTGAATGGTGCTGCATTTCAAGCAAATCTGATTGAATGAGTTTCTGCTGGACCTGCATTCCGATGTCTCTGCCTCAAGCTTTTACTAGGGGCTGGGCATGACACAGCCTGAAGAGTGGCTAGAAGAGTTGCTAGGGTTCAGTCAAGATGGCACGCGCAAGCTGAGTGTGCCATGTCCTTCACATGTTTCGGCAACACAAGGCCTGTCTGGGCTCCTTTTGTATGGTCTGTTGCTTTCTTCATTGCAGGGCCTTCTAGGCTAGACTCTGCCGCCTGCAACAACCTTGAAAGGACCTGGTGATGACCTCTTCGATGAAGGACCTGCTGTGGCTGAACGACAAGAAGCAGAGGATGAAAGCCCCTGGGTACAGAAATGAGGTGTCACTGTATGCTCGGTCCTTTTACAGTAGACTTGTGGCTAGCATGGTTTATGCTGAGGCTTCCACTGAATGACTCAAAACCAGGGACAACCCCAACTAATCTTAAACCAATCTTAATATATCTCATGTACTAATTCCCAAGTGCTGTTCCACTCTGGGTCCACGAGCTTGTCTTTGGCCATTCGATGCAAAACTGAACCTGTCGGGGTCTGGGGCTTTGCTTGCTTCAAGCTGTTGGGTTTCAGGTTTGGATCTATGTGAGAAACATGGGCTCTGGTCTCTCTAGAAGGGTTTTCATCAAATACTCACTAAGCATGGACATGAAAGTGTAGCACTCAGATGACAAACACATTGCTTGCATAGATTTCATGTTTCCAAGGTATGCATGTAAAACCCTTTCACAACCAGGCTACTTGCAGCTGGACATGTTCAAGCCATCAGTCCGTGATCTGCCACGACTCCGGGAGCTATTGCTGCAAGGCCTTGGCAGTGATGCCCGTGTGCAACTCCAGTTGCCAAGACCTTTGCTGAATGCAGGCAAAGCTCTGCTTTTCGTTAGGAACAAGGTTGCTAGCATCCTGAGTTTGGGGCCTACTGTGTATAAGATAGGCCTTACAGGTGATCCCATGTTCCGCTTTTACAAAGTGCCCTCACAGACAAGTGCATCAGCAGGTTACCGCCATGATCTAGAGCAGTATGAAGAAATGCATGTACTATTTGCTGGGGCCACATGGGATGAGGCTGCCTTAATGGAGGCTGTGCTGATTGCAGAGTTTCAGGGCCGGCCGGGAAATCGCAATATCAATCCTGGGGGTGAGGGGCGGCAAGTCTATGACCCGCCATACTTCACATACATTGTGTTCAAGTCGGCCCTGATTGCACCGAAGCGACGGCGCATACATGCTTATGGGGGAAAGAGAGCGTATCATGTCCTATGGCATCACTGAACTGCAAAGTTGATGTAGGCAGTCTTGCTGGCATGAACATGTACCCCACCCTAAGAGCAACTAAACCCAGTCTATGTCTTCCCTCAAACAATTTATGTTTGCACCTCTCTGGCTGAGGTGCCGTGCTCCAAGATCGTGGGGCTGGCAAAGGCGATGCGGGCCGATGGTCTGACGGCCTCAGGTGATGGCTTCATCCATGAGCTGTCAAAGGTTTCAGAGAAAGATGCCGAGGGAAAGTCACACAAGCTGCTAGAAAAGCACAAGCTCAGTTTGCCGATTCCGGTCAGAAAGATTCATGGGGATCCAGCAATCGCAGGTTTTCCGAGATTGAAGCCTTTAGATATCTTTCAACACATGGCCGAATCCGGTCATGTGAACAAGCTGCTGGGTGGAAGGACTGTGCAAATCCAGTCACTTGCTTCTGCTGTCTTTTTGGGAAAATTACAAAGCCATACATCCAGACTTCGAGCTTTTCTCTTCACATCACAGCGATATTCTTCTGGAAGACTGCATACCCATCGTTGCACACATAGATGGAGGGAGAGGCTATAAGAAGAGTCAGTATATGATCTTTGATTGGGGAGCTGTCATAGGCTCAGGGTCGGGGAAAAAGAACAAGAAGGACCCAGCTGTTCGAGCTTTCAAATCCGGTGGCAACAACATGCAGCTGCCTTTGTTGGGCCACTCCTATACTACGCATTACCTCTATGCTGCGATGCCATCTTCCTGGCACAAGAATCATGAAGATTCATTTCAGGCATTGCTTCGCACGTTTGCTGAGGACCTCAGGGAGTGTTTCGATGAGGGGATCTCATTCAAAGGCCGGGTTCTACGCCTGGTTTTGATTGGGTTGAAGGGAGATTTAAAAATGCAAGCACGTGCCGGTCGCTTAACGAGATGGTTCACAACAGCGCGCAAAGCTCCATATTCGGAAGCAAGCAAGGTTTCAGGGCAGTGCTGTTGGCTGTGTTCTGCTGGTGATGTCAGTACCCCTTTCGAAGAAATCCACACCGACAACCCCGCTTGGCTTCAGAAAATGCCTATGTTTCGAAAGCCACCCTGGGAGCCTGGATCTGAAGGGGGGATGCTCAAAGCTTCTTTGGGCTACGTGGAGCGACCTGCCAAATTTTACTTGGCCGATTTGTTTCATGTTTATTTGGCTGGGGTGGGGCAAGATTTCTGCTCGTCATGCTTGGTGTATATGCTACCAACCTGTTTCCCTGGCTCTCGTGGTAACTCCGTGGATGCACAAATCGAGAAGTTGAATGAGGTTTTCAGGAAGTGGAGGCTGGAATGCAAGGAGGCGGTGCATCTGACAGCTTTCACGAGGGACAAATTGCAGTACTTCGATGCTACTTCGGCATTCCCTGCTGGCACTTGGTCAAAGGCTGCTGATACTGCACGGATCACGAAGTTCATTGTGTATATTTGCGAGCTACACAAGGACAATTCGGGTGTACATGGTGACAAGATCCTGCACTACATCTACCGAGCTGCTTGTGCAATCAGCCGCTTCATGAAAGGTCTGTATGAAGCAGACGTGTGGATCGATTTCGAGCTGCATGTCGCATCATGTTTTGCTAGGCTAGAAGCTAAACCTGATGGTGCTGTATATATAAGTTAAGAAACCTACTTCGACTGTTAAGCTGTGCCATCTTTTTTTTAGACTCAATCTGATTCAAACAAGATTCTCAAGGGATCCTCCAACACATGCCAACTCAAATCCAGGAGCCGGCTGCAGCGGCTTCCATTGGGAGAGACGGCTTGCTGTTTTTGCGATGCTTCCACAAGCTAGCTTCACTAGCTTTAGAACTCCGCCGACCTTTGTGGCCCTTCCGGCCCAAGATACACACCCTGCACCATCTGATTTTGGATATGGTACAGGCATCCAGAGATCAGACACCATCCTTTAATGCGTTGGCAGTCAGCTGTAGTCAATCCGAGGATTTTATCGGAAGAACGGCCCTTCTTAGCAGACGCGTCTCTGCCACCACATCACGAAGCCGTGTGCTACAGAGGTGGTTGGCTGGGGCTTCGATTCAGTGGTTGCGCAGCAGCTAAGGGCCCGACTTTTGTTTCGACGAAGATGTCGCTGAGAATGATGGTGGTGAAAACGATCGAAGGGGACCGAACCTATAAGTGTAAGCAGACCCCACTCAACACTGCACCCCCAACTTCCAAAACCCTAAACCCTGAATCCGCACATCTTGCAGTCTAAATCAAGCTTGGACCATAGTCAACCAACAAGTTCCCCAATCTTAAGCCTTTAAAGCCCTGCATCTGTGTTTTAAGATAAAAGCCCCTGATTCGCCCCCAGAGGCACACTCAGAACGCTCAGAAACATCTCCACGCCTAGATTTTGGTAGGGGAACAGGGGTCCAGGTAGACCCTAAACCCTATAGACCCTAAACCCTAGACCCTAAACCCCATAAGCCATAACCCGAAACCCCATAAGCCATAACCCGAAACCCCATAAACCCTAAACCCTATAGACCCTAAACCCTAGACCCTAAACCCCATAAACCATAACCCGAAACCCCATAAACCCTAAACCCTAGACCCTAAACCCTAGACCCTTTACTAAACCCCATAAACCATAACCCGAAGCCCCATATAAACCCTAAACCTTAGACCCTGAACCCTCAACCCTAACCCCATTGTCTAGCAGGTTTTGCTGGCAGCGCTTGGAAAGGATCCTTCGGCCTGGGCCTCAAGCGCCCGTAGCACTCAGAGACTATTGGAGGCTTTAGGGCTTGAGGACTATAGGGCTCTAAACCCTAAGCCCTAAGCCCTCAGGATTTTTAGGGCTTTAGGGCTTCAGGGGTTGTTAAGGCTTTAGTTTGTAGGGTTTGGGGTTTGGTTCTAATTCTAGAGTTTTGTTGATTTGGGGCCGTATGTTTGGACAGGGCTTTGGGGGTGCTAGGGTATTGACGTGGCGCGGGGGTGTAGGGTTGGTGAGGTTCGCTGGTTGCAAATAGCCCATGAAGTGACTAACAAAGTTCCGAAACCCAATCCTTATAGTAGCCTGAAAGAACACCGAAAACCCCAACCCTAGGGCCCTTCTAAGAAGACGAAGACCCCGAGGTCAGCCTCGGCCTCACTTGTACTCTGAGGCTCTTCGGCCCAGCCGTGCACACGGCCGCCCGAGGGTCCCCGGAGGCGGCGTGCGGAAGATGAAGCTCTGGCGCGGCCGGGGCAAAGGCGAGGTATCGAGGATCTGTAGAGTTTTCTTGGGGATGTGTGGATGAAGGGTCTTTTGGAATGTATGGCTTAAGGGCATGAAGTGTAAAAGTGTAGGGTTCCGTTTTTATGGATGTTTGCTTGCTTCATTCATGACGGCCGACAACGGACCACTACCACTAATGCACCGCTACCGCTTGTGCTAGCTCTGCTGGTGCTGCTGGTCCGCCTCCTCCTCCTCCCCTTGCTGCTACTACACCCACAATGGCACAATGGTGATGAGGAGGCTTACTGTAGATCTGGAAAGAAACATTCGAGTAACAATCCTGATGCAGAGCAAAGTCGACTCAGGGACAGGTGTTCGGACGGATTCTTTTTCCGATCTCCTCATCCCGCATAGCTGTGCATAGTCCCGCCTATTCGGGCAAATAATGCAAGGTCATAAATACGATAATATACTTCAACATGTTGTACGTATATACCTTCATGTACGATAGTCTACTCTAAAAAAATACCATGATCTGTAAGGTCTTGCCACGTTAAGCTTCCAGGACCCTGGCTTGCGAGCGGAAGGAGTGGAAAAGCCACGCTGGCAGGGAAAGAGCTGTCCGGAGACATCCGCGGGCTTTGTGAGTTGCAGAGCTCCTAAACCCTAAACCCTAAACCGGGGTTTGAGGTAAGCCAGAGTTCTGAATTTTACAGGGTGAGCGGATTTAGGATGAGCCCCTCTCGGAGATTCAGCGGCCCCAACCAGTCAAGACTCGTCAAATTCCGAATCCGTAGTCCGGCTCTGACATCGTCGGCTAACAAGGTCTGCACCTGGTGGGCAACGAGGCGACGATGGACGACCTCGGCTTCATAATTCCTATGGAAGGCTTCCGATAAGTTCAGCCGTTCGCGCTCTGTCGAGAGTTGATTGAAAGAGACTGAAGTTCTCAATCGATCGAATCTAGACTTAGAGAGATGCCCATAAGTGTCATGAACACAATCTCTCCACCGGCTGCTCGGGTTCTTCAGGTGGACGTCCACCTCCGGCGCACTGCGGCGATCCGACAGTCTCGGCGATGGCGGGGCGCTCAGAGTGTGACGGGCGTCAGCAGTCCCCAAGACCAGGTCCACGAGGCCTCCACGGGGTCATAATTCGACTATAGCGCCGCCTTAATTAGGACGATGTGTTTCTGTGCCACATGACCCCAAGAGGGTTCTGAAGTTCCTTCCTGCTAGATAACCTTTCTCCAAGCCGCGGCATCGATTCTCAACTCTACCACTGAGATCAAAATTAGTCCAGCATCTACATCCCGAATCCCAAAAGGCCAAAACTGTCAATCCCTGGACCTAGATACCGTTGGATAAGCCTCCACTGCGCCAGATCTGAACCATCGGTCCGCCACGCTTCCTGCACGCATTCCCAATCATAACAGCCAGCTCCTCATATGCATGTCATATTCGCATACATACGGTCATTGAGTGTATTGTATACCTGTTTGTATGTGTGCAATACAAATACACAGTCTCGCAAGTTTATATACATATATACACATGCACATGTGCATGCATATGAACATGATCATGCATACATACATACACACACATACACAGGTGTATACTGTGCATACATGCGTACGTACGTACATACATGCATACATACATGCATACATGCATGCATACATGCATGCATACGTACATACATACTACATACGTGTATATATATATATACATACACAAACATACATACATACATACATGCATGCATCCATCCATACATACATACATGCATGCATACATACATACATACATACATACATACATACATACATACA